TTGTTTGTTTGCATGGATATTGAATGGAGCTCTTCCGGCTTCCGCTGCCGGTTTTGGTCCAAATGCGGACACTGCACTTTCATCCTACGAACTACAAGGCTCTGGAAAAAGTCGGCTAGCATTGCAGTTCGCATGAGCAAGCCTCGGCCAGCAGAAGTCGCAGGAGCCAACTTGCTCGCATATCGTCAACTTTTTGTATTCGGTGCTCCCTTACTTTTCACACAATTGAAGCGCCGATACACATACACACACGTACTATACATACGTGTATACACAATTGGCTGCAACTTGACAAAAAGCAAAGTTCGAGCAACTATGCTCCGTATTACTGCACATTTTGCAGTACGAACTATGTGGGCGCCCCCCGCCAGTATGGCCTCTGGCCTCCGAAGTCTGAAGGCTGCCCGAGCCGCAGACACTTAGTCTGGTGCCCGGCCATAAATCTAAGAGCGCGCCCTGCGCGGCTGCTCGGATGCTCGGCTGCTCGACTAGATGTAGAAAATGAAATAATTTCGAAACATCAAAGTGTTGCCGCTTACAGTGCGCCAGCTGAGAGTAATGACTCCTGTGTTTTTCATATTTGTGTTCTATTTCAGAACTTTTCATCCATCAGCAGTTGCCAGCAGCCATCGTCGTCATCGTCCTCGCCATCGCCATCGCCAGTTGGCGCCAGCCCGAGGTTCCAAGTTCACGAAATTTATGCAAACACTGCACGGAATTAAAGTTTCACCAAATCATTGGTGTTGGTCAGGTTCAGGATACTGCATGACACAACGGAAAGTAAATAGGAAGTGTATTAGCAAACGAAACGGAAACATATTTACTGATCTAGTCTCTCACTCCAAGTATCAGGAGATTCCGGGCAGTGATTGTCTCTTCGCCCTTTTCAGAGACCAAAATGGGCATCCTGGCAACAACCAGGCATATATATTCATTTAACAAAGCTCATTGTTCATTTTCATTCGGGTGTAGGAATGTATTAAAATTAATATAATTATTCTACATATTTGTATTTCAAAGCCGAGACACCCGACTTAATTTTTTTCATTTTATTTAAAAAAATAAGTGGTGTCCTGACTTTGAAATATGCGTAGAATAATTATAGAATTTAAAAAATTAAGAACATTAAAAACAAGTAAAAAGGCTAAAGTCGAGTGTCCCGACTTTGAAATACTCTGTACATATGTTTAGAATAATTATATAAATTAAAAAACTACGAGAATTAAAAAAAAACAAGAGAGAACGCTACAGTCGAGCAAGCCGGACAGTGTAATATCCTGTACCCAGTAAACTTCCATCACTGAGTTATATGCGCCCAAAGCAGCAGCAAAAAGAGGAAGAATTGACCGAGTTGAATATCTGTACATGAAAAGTACAAGAGTAAATTAGGTTTACGGGAGGTGAAAAAAGTAACAGGCACAATGAGGCGTGTAGACCCCACAAAGTACTTGTATACATATTCTTGATCAGCATGAACACATGGATCATAGAGCCTATTAAAGCTAGAGAAACCAAATTTTGAGCAAATATGGCTTATACAAGTATGTTTACGTTGTGCAAGTTTGTTTTATTTTTTTGAATTTCTCGACGCTCTCCCAATAATGGGGCTTTTTCGTAATTACCTATCTCAGAAATGTTAAGACCTAGGGACACATAATTGCAGTCCAAGATCTCAGAACACATATATTTCGGAATTTCCCTCCCCACAATCACTGAATAAATGTAATCTCTGCAAATGCTCTGCCCGCAGTTGTTGTTGATGCTGCTCTGTCTAATTTCTGTTCTTCACACATAGATGCATATAAACGCATAGACACTACAAGTACAAGTATTCTGATGTAAATTATGCTGTTGAAGCTGTACATAAACATATGTATGTCTCCACTCACTTATGTACTATGTATGTGATCTTGACCAGGATATATAGTTCAATTAGAAACAAGTAAAAAAGCTAAAGTCGGGTGTCCCGACTTTGAAATGCTCTGTACATATGTTTACAAAAATTATAGAAATTAAAAAAAGTAAGGGAATTAAAAAAAAAAAAGAATTTGATCGATTTTACCTCTTTTGGTATTCGAACTCACGTAAAAGGTGTATAATTGCACATATACAAAGCAATTGCGTCTATGTGAGTGTATGTATGTTTATGCGCGTCTATTCGTGTCTGTGTAAGCATGTTCGCAGTCAACCAAAGCACCAGCATCAACAACAGCCGCGGGCAGCGCTGCAGCAGCAAATATATTTATGGCTATAACTTCTTGTTAAATCGGTCTATCATAGTGAAACTTGGCATACGGACACATAATTACTAACTGGGGGTATTTCCAAATTTTAGTTCGAAATTCTAAGAATTATGGGAGTTAGAGAAAATCGCGATTTGCATAGGAGAGGGGCGTGGGAGGGAAATTGAAAAATACACATTTTCTGCGTATTTACATCATCTGGCATCTGGGACTAAAATTTGGTATACGAATGGAAAATCGGGAAAACCCCCATACGGGGGAAGTGGGGGGGAAAATCAAAAAAATAAAACAAACTTGCATCGGGAAAAATGAACAAACTCGTCCTTTCTCGGGCTCAGGAGCATCTAGATACCAAGTTTGGTTATTCTAGCTCTTATTCTTTCTGAGATCCTTTCGTTCATACAGACAGACAGACGGACAGACGGACATGGCTATATCGACTCGGCTTATCATCCTGATGAAGAATATATATACTTTGTGGGCTCTGCCACGCCTCCTTTTGTGTGTTCCATGTACACTCGCACAAAACTAATATACCCTTTTACCCTTTGGGTACAGGGTTTAAAAAAGTGTTTCTTTTAGGAGTGGGTACAGGGTATTTAAGAGTAATCAACAATCTATTCTACATACGAATATATTAACAAAATCAATCGACTTTTAATTTCATACACATACACCATTCATTGCCTTAGAAATATGGATTGAGCCAAAAACCAATTTTCATTTTAAATAGTAGGGTATCCCGTATTCTGCCCGTCTGACCAAAGCGTTCTTACTTGTTGAAAATTTGAATTGCAAGCTGAGCAAGCGTGCAAAACAAGAAACGGTAATGTCGTTGTCGAGCCATTGCATTTATTTGCAATGTGTCGGCACATATCCAGTCAGTAGTGTCTGTAACCATGCCGGCCATTGTCCATCAACCGTATGCCCACTGCCATGGCTGCGGTCCAGTTGGCCAGGGTCCGGGATGGATCCGATGGCATGTCCTTAATAAAAATGCATTTACATATTCAAAGCCTGCACAGCCGCACACACCACCCCCACAGCCACAACCGCCACCACCGCCTGCACCACGTCGGCCGTAGAAGACTGCGTGTGAACAAAAGCGAATAGATCAGCCGCATTGCATTCGCAGCAGCAGTGCAAGTGCGTTTATGGTTTGATGATTTACAGATGCCGCCATAAATATTCGCACGGCCAGTGCGCACATTATTCGCGATTTATGCTACGCTGCCCATAACTCATGCAACAGCACATGTAAAATTTATGCAATTATTAATTTAACACGCGCCACTGTCCGTCCCTCGGCGGACCCACTCCTACTCGCACTTAGCTTCGACCCCATCTCCGCCACTGTATTGTTATCAGTTCAGGCTGAGCACAAAAGAAGATCTAATCTCCCCTGTCGGAGCTAAACGTTTTACGGTGTGCCGCTGAGCAGCGAATCAATTTGAAGGCGACAGCAAATGTTGCTACGGACTTGGACATGGCACTGGAACAAGCTGAGCCTGAAACAGAGGTTTAGGCGAATATGGAGACATATGGCGCGTCGCCGGCAATTGTTGCTGCTTCCACCCACAAGTGTGGCGCGATAATTTAAGAGACGAGCAAAAACACTCTCGAAAATAATAAATGTCCAATATGTTAGTTGGCTGGCAACAGGGCCGAATCAAATGCAAGGGGAAGCAGCAGCAAAACAAAAATAAACTTCCGCGGCAATAGAGGAAACAGCAGCAGGAACAATAAAAAGCTTGAAACAGATATACGGCATGTGTGAAGCAAACGGCAGTGACAGGCCCGGTCTCATCGAATGGTCAACCATTCGTTGAAGCTGAAGGACTATAATAGAAGTAGTTGCCGCACCTCACCTCACACGGACCACATGCTAGGCTGCTACGGCTGGGCGGTTGTGTCAGACATACGTGGGCAGCTTGTTGGGGTCCATTAATTTGCCATAAAACGGAAGTGGCCTAAAATTTGTTTGTTGTTATTGTTCCGACGAAATATTACATATGGTTCCAAGTCGGACAGAGGACTGTTTCAGCGGTGAGCGATAAAAGTAAAGCTGGCCCATCTACTGAATCAACATTTGTGATGTCCTCTTAAATTTCCAATGCTGTCTAAGCCGTGGGGAAGAAAGGGGTCCAGTTGCGACTACTTAGATCAGAACAATATTCAAGCTTTTGTTTACATACTATATATGTAAATCAGTCAATCATGGCTTGGCTTATGATCTTAAAATTATATACCACATTCATTCAAATTATTTAATTTCCTAATATCACATGAAGAAAACAATGCCAATGATTTACTGTGCAGCAATTTAATTATTTAATTAATTTATTGTGAATAAAAGGGGTATGTGTCTTGGACGCCTTGGACGAATAATATTCGATATTCGCAATATGACGCAGCATAATGCAGCAAGACAACATACATTTTAAACATACGAGTATATTAGTATAAGTCGAGCTAGAGAGCTAGAAAAGAGGCGGTAAACATCAAAAACTTGGTAAGGAAATACGGAAAAGGTAAACAGATATGGGCCACGGATAAAAAACAATGCGGAACATGCATTCTTTTTATAAAGAGACCGAAGTAAATATTACAAATTTAAAAAGTCGTACGTGAGATACTACGGAGGAGTCAGGAGTCACCACCTGCAAAAGGATTCCTTTAAACACATAAGACGCTTTTGTTTGTTTTGAGCTGATATCTCAAGTATCAAATGAAAATTACTACAACTACATAAATATATATAATATATAAATATGACCTCTTTTTGAGTATCTTTATCTCTCTATATACAAGTATACATAACGCTCTATTATCAATAATTGCTTACAACTACGCGCGGTTCTCCCAGCTTTCTTGAATGGCCTTCGCGATAATTTCGTTGAAATGCTGTATATTAGTCAATACCGTTATGCCGTGAGCACACTGATCAGCATTTGGAGCGTTGCTAATGACACCGTAAAGGAAATACCGGTATTCGTCCTGAATAAAGTAATCGTTATGGCGCAAAGCGGTGTATCCCCCCCCGCTATCCCCACGGCAGGCGAGAGATTTCCCCTCCGTGAAAATGCAGAACTTGTCCGGCTTAATATCCTTAAGGTGGTTCGAGTAGCACTCGGAGTTCATTTTTGAGACGGCCGGCACGAATTGCAATTCGTGCTCCCCGTCATAGTTCCAGCCAGCAAACTTGCCTCTGACATTATTATTGATGGTCTCCTTCTCAGCGTAGCTGGCAAATGATACGCAAATAGGGCGAATAACCGTATTGAGATCAAATGGGATCTCTAGGACGATCAGAGCTAAATCGTGGTAATAGTTGTCTTCTTGTCCCTTGTAGTTTCTGCAAATAGAAGCAAACGTTTTCTGAATATATTCTTCTAGTGAATGTAATGCACTAACTGAGCTACTCTTATCTCCCGCACTTTCCGGATGCGGTCCTCCTCAGTAGTCCTTTTGTAATCCCTGTAGTACTTTGAGCCAATCACCTGAAAAGTTTCGGCGGAGTAAGGACGACCAGCGGCTTCGTCAAACACACAATGTGCAGCTGTGATGACTAGATCGGGAGTGAGCAGCGACCCACCACAGATAAAGTTGTCGTCCTTCTCATTGTACCTAGCATACAGGCCGACGTGCCAGGGCACTGCAGTATTGTTGATCGAATAGCCATTGGCTGAGAATTTCTTTACGGGAGTTGCAATCTGGCCACACTCCTGGATACATCGATCGCGAGGACGGTTCCAGGTGCCGCCCTCCATGCACTTCATGTCCGGAAGAGGTTGCGTAGCTTGCTGCGATTGAAAGCCCGTCGCACAGACGAATTTAACAACAGTGCCTGGTGGGTGGAAACGCTGGGTGCAGTCTAAATTCTGACCCTTTATGGAGCATGTAGCCTTTGTTGAGTAACCGTCAAACTGTCCTTTTGCGTCACAATACTCTGTAACAGATATAACGTCAATGCTGACATGGTTGAACCTTAATCCCTCACTCACTTATACATCTGGGCACCACCGGCACACTCCACTGTCTGTTCGAGCAAATGCTGGTAGACTCACCAACGAGTGTGTACCCCGGCTCACATGAGAAGTACACGGTTGCTCTCGTAATGGGAGGCTTTAATGTGTTGCCAGAGCGATCCTTAAGTATGGGACGCTCGTTCCTCGGAGGCAGCGGGCAGCCGTACTGCTCCACCGGGCCTACAGGCTGCATTGTGGGCTTCGTCTTCCCCGTTGTGTTGCACAGCAATGGAGCCTCGTCGGTGCCGTCAAAGCAATCGGGTTGTCCGTTGCATACGAGTGTGCTCGAAATGCAACCACCACTGCCGCACTTGAATGAATAGCCTGGACACTCCATGTGACCGCAGAGAGTCACCGACTCATCGTACCCATCGCCACAGTCGTCTTTTCCGTCACAAAGGCTCTTGCTTTTATCGATGCAAATACCCGAGGGGCACTTTATTTCGTTTTCTCTGCAAATATAAAAAAATATTTATTGAAATGCAACTAATGGCGCTCTCGTCCTCAGTACTTACTGGCAATTCCCTTGAAGTCTTCGATCAAACTCCCGAATGTCATCGTCGCTGCCACAGCGGCGCACCGTCTCATCCGAGCCGTCGGCGCACTCCTCGATGCCATTGCAGCCCGCCGTGCCGATAACGCACGCCCCATAACTACACTGGAAGTAAGGCTTGGAACAGTGCTGTCGTTGAGAAACACACTTTATCGCCGTTTCATCCGATCCGTCCGGGCAGTTTTTCGCTCCATCACATACGCTATAGCTTGAAATGCAGCTCCCGTTGTCGCACTCGAACTGAGAAGAGCTGCAGGCTGCGTACGCTAATTTGGAGCAATGATAATTGGGTGTATCGTTAACCATTGGCAGTCTGCGAAATGAGTTGGGAAGCTACAATTCCTAGAAGACTTAAGCCCTTATGGGTGAACGTATCAAGCACATGTGCACAATGACGCTGATATAGGTGTACTCTTATGACTGGCTCACTCCGATGTCAAGGATAAGACTGAACTTACCGTGGGTGTAATATATAACTACGTCATCCATTGTTGTTTTGATTCAGCAAAATTAGGAACCGGGTTTTAAAATTAACAAGTACTTGGTTCAGAGGGTTCGATCTAATTCAAATTAACGCATTATCTTTATAAAGACAAAATGTTGGAAAAAATAAAAAACAAAAACATATGCAACAAAATAACTGTTCAATTGATAAGCGGGTATACATATTTAAATAATAGCACATAAATAATAAAGCTGTATTATATAGCTCACGAAAAGCAGCGCAAAGGTAATGACTGATTATTTCTAGTCGGTCTTGTGAGGCGGCCGTAAAACTAAGTGGAAGCTGGAAGATGTGCAGTATTGCGATTGCTAAGCGAAGCAATATTAATTCAGGAAATAAACCAACCGGTTTTAACAACAAATCAATTAAAAACTGATTGCATGCTGTGCTTCTCTAGAGCGCCGTTCTCGGATTGTTCAGAAAATCGACTTGAAGCAGCAAAGAGTATGGTGGTGCCAGGGCGTTCTTGCTCTCTTGCCTTCTCTTGGGTGCAAACAAGAGAGTGCACCCTCGTTCTACAAGTCTCAGAACTTGTTGCGACGCTGAAAGCGAGTTTCTAGCACATGCTGACGACCGTATAGCACAACACTGATGATGTCCACATTTATTTATTTATATACATACGTTTATTATCTTACGCGCGACTGAACTTTACTTACTTTTATTGATATTTATTAAAATCGTGTAGGCTGCCAGAATGCATGATGAGAAATATGTTAATTTCATACTTGTTGAATATGGTCGAAATCACTCTGTTTACAAATCACTTTTCTATATCCCATGGATGTACGAGTATGTGTGCATACATTATATTCTGATTAATAAGAAAATGCGCAACACATGCTATGCGCGCGAACAAAAGCAGTATACCGATCGAGGATCCATTTCCGACTGACTGAAGCAATACTCGTACGATGTGTTTAAATTGATTAGCTGTCGATTCTCTCCCAGCTCAGGTTAAGAGAACACTTTGTCTGCGCTGAAATTTTAAGAGAACCAGCATCGCGTTCTAAAATATTATATATATACTTGTACATTCTTATCGATCGGGATGGTGAAACATTGAAATCATTGAACACATTTTTAAATACATATACAATTTTAAAGGAAAGGCGTTATTGATTTCAATAAATATTCCAAGTGCTCGATTAGCTGCTTCCACATGCCGTTGCAGTCCCGATACACACATGTATTTTCGTCCGATACACACATGTATTTCGTTGATAACATGTACTATAATTGGGCACTATATTTAAGAATGACGAGTGCAATATAGTAGGTGAATGACTTTGAAAAGTAAAGGGTATACAAGAGTCAGGCTTGCGTCTGAATTTGTTGTACTCGTTTGTTTTTCAAGCAATCCAAACCCAATGAAATGGAAGCTAAATTAAAAGCTTTGATACATTGAGTAGGTGGCGCTGTTGCGCCACCTACCGGCCTCATGCCGAACATTGGTGTGTTGAGCTGCAGATAAAAGATGCTTGCTACAAGACGTTCAATGTTAGTTTTACTTTTTTTTTGACAGAGGACGCTAGTGTTTCGCTCTTTGGCTATTTTCATTTATCTGAGTTAAATTTAAAGATAAATTAAAATATTTAATCATTTTTCGAACACAACTTCAAGTCTTTTACAGTTCATATTGAATCCAAACCAAATAAAAGAAAATAATTGAGGAATACGTTAGCACCCTTCATCGAGCACTTGAGACACGAAATGTTTCTACTTGAAAGTCTATAAATAAGCCTATAAGTTAATTTCATTTGAGTGCAGTTATCAAAAATTATAGTACTTCGATTCGGACGGTTGACTAACATAGTAACCCAAAGGCAAACTTCAACTATCCATAAATAGTAAGAACTTTGAAAATGATTATTTTCTTTCTTACGGAAATGTTCATTTTTCGAGGCGTAATATCGCTTTGACTGTTCGGTGCACGGCTAACTCTCTATAGAGCAGAACCAATAAAAGGCTAATTTTCTCTGGTTTTCCATTTTATTTATTCACCACATTCTGATTCTGTCACTGGTTTTATTTTTCTTAAATAAGTTTTTAGTTTTGTTTTGCATGTGTGGCTGCAGTTGCATTTTTTTGTGTTTTTATAATTTATTTTAACATATCTGTCGTCTCATTGCACATTGCATTTGTAGTAGTACACATAGTTGCTTTTATTTTGTTTTTATGTATCATTATTATTATTATTTTATATTTAGTTTGATAATTTACAACTTACAGTGCTAGCATAGAATGGCGTAAATTAGAGCTGTGTGCTGTACGGGTAGTTGGTTTCGGGCTTACGTATCGAAGTGTTTATCTGCTGCTTTCTGTATTTCACATGCGCTTCAGGGTCTTGGTTATCTAGCCAGGGCCAGTCACAAATATACACATATGTATCTATGTATGTATATACTATATACAGACATACAAGTTCATAGGTAGATAAGCTTGGTATGAATGTATGTATACTCGTTCTGGACCAATTGTAATCTCAAGAGCAAGAGCGGTAGTGCGTGTGTAAATTAACAGCCACCGAAATGTACAATTTGGTTGAATTATTTATATTATTTGTGTACATTATTATGTAGATACTTATTTAACTGAAAGAGTAGCTTGAAGTATGCAACTAATATCCGTTGCTAAGACAATTCACATCATTCGAAGTTCGTATAAAGGGATTTGTATTTTTTACGTATATGCGTTTGCGTTAAAATTCTATAACATTTCACTTATCAATTAAGTACGTCATCGTATTTTCATCTGTTGCAAATATTTCGTTATTGTTGTCCATTTATACTCCATTTTCATGTATGTATATATATATATATATATATATATATATTTATATATATTTTAGAAATTATATTGATTTAATTCTTACGCTCTATTTACGTATACATCATGTGAAGGATCTGCGTTTAGCAACACAAATATTTGCTATATCTATTGGACAAGCCAAGCCTCAGGACTAATGCCGAGGTACTCCGAAGTATCTCCAATCTACAAGCACAGCTTGGGCTGGGTAAGTTTTCGAAGTTCTAACAAATCAAAAAATGCAAATAAGGTCGTAAAGGTCTATGCAACTACAATAAATAAACGTAAGGAGATCAAAAAATATTCAATTCGCATTAGAGCAAGCAGCACATTCTTTTGTATATTGTAGGTATTGTGTAGAATCAATGGAACTTTTTATACTGGAGGTGAAAATTTGCAATTTTATATAAACGTACAATTTGGAACTGGCTCTCAGCTTACACAAAAGAAGAGCTGCAGAAAATAAAATGCAAATTATATATATATTTTATACTGATTGTCCCGGATATGTCAAATTTTAGACATTCGATACACTCGGGACTTATCGGATTGCAACCTTTAATTAAACTAAACTCTGGCCAACAGTTCTACCTCATGGCGTGGCTGATTATATTTTGATTTTCAAATTCGTGTGCAAGGCTTGACAGACGAACGACATCTGAATAATGCTAATAAATAATAACACAAAAATGCGAAACGATTTCTTTTTCGATTTTTTCAAAACCAATAATTTATTGTGTTTGCCTGGTTGTTGTTTTTCTGCTTGTTGATTTTTTCAGATAATAATCTCATAAACGCTTTTTATTAAACTAAATTTAAACATAATGCAACTAAAAAATATTCAGTTTAGAAAACTCTAAAAATTACTTAAAGAAACAGCTTCGATTGTTGTGGCTGTTGTAGTTTCAGTTTGTGTGTGTGTGTGTGTTGTGTGTCTGTTGCACGCTTAGGGAACTTAAAATAAGAACTAAACAAATTAATTAAATTAAACAAAGTAAACTAAATTGCATTAATTTATAAGCAAAAACTATACACATTTTCATAATTAAGTTTTACGAACATTTACTTTTTACCTCACTAACAAATTCTATTTATACTAGTGTTAAATTTTCATAAGGATTTTCCAGTATTTCAATTTAACATAATTAGCTTAAAACGCGCCTTAAAAATTCATATCAACAGAACCTTTTACACTTCCTCATGCTAACATTCTACAAGTACTTCGCGAAACAATAATTTAAACAATAGCGATAGAACGTGGGGGGAGGAAAGGCTTAGGGGTCTTCATATTTTTGGGAACCGATTCGAAATAATATGTAATGCCTTTGTTTTAAGCATTATCGTACGCGAAACAAATCTTACGCCTGCAAACAATTTCAAAATTGTCAATTATAACATAAATATAATTCTTGCTTTGGAGAAAATACATTCGAGGTGTATTTTGAGTAGTTTTAAGTAGTACTCGCGTTTCTATTCGCTTCTCGTCAACTTTCCTTTACTTAGGCTACGAATTTATTTGTAATTTTGTTTTCCCATTTTGCTCTTTTACGTATTTGCGGTTGGTTCAACATTTCAAATAATTGTTATAAATTTCAATTTGAATTTATCGTATTATTATATTAAGTAATTTATGTTGTGTGTCTGTGTATGTGTCTGGGAGTGTGTGTGTGTATGTGTGTTTGTGTGGATGTGTGTGTGTTTGTTTTTTTTATAGCAATTTCGTTCTAATTCTGATCTAAATGGCCGCCTTGCACCGCTGCTGCCGCAGCCGCAGCCGCCGCTGCCTTCTGCGCCTGCGCCTGCTTCTCCTGCTCATTGAGCTCCTTGATCGCCTGTATCTCCTTTTTTAGCTTCATGCGCCGGTTCTGGAACCAGATCTTGATCTGTCGCTCCGTCAGACACAGCGCGTGCGCCATTTCGATTCTCCGCCTGCGGGTCAGATAGTGATTTGTGTGGAACTCCTTCTCCAGCTCAAGCGTCTGGTAGCGGGTGTATGTTTGGCGGCCGCGTCTTCTGAGGCCATTTGTACCTGAGAATAATAGAGTTGGATCGGTCAGAACATGATGACAATAACTACATTTATTAAGTCTACTAGTCGCGACTACAACAAAGACAAAGCACGTAGAAGTACAAGTATATAATTTAGCCATAGATATAATACTCGGACAATAAAAACCTGAAATAGTTTTTGTAAGCTAGAAGTTAAGTTTAACACTCAAGTTAAAATGTAAATCTCAAACATTTATATATGGTTGTGTAGTGTAATATATATTACGTTTCTTAAATCTGAGAGGTATGGATTTGATTCACTCCACCACCTATTTTTTTGTTTTTGAGTTTTGATTCAAATATTGTTATTTAAGTACTACTTGTTGATTCAAGTCTGCATTTCATTGATGTTAGCGCGAATTTGACACTTAAATTGAAAAAATAATCGTTTTTGTCAAATTTGGAATCAGGCTTGTGAGGATCTCTGAATATACGAAAAATATTTCTCAGAAGTACATTGTTTTTCACATGCTGAAATATATTTTTCAGATGTTTTTGTTAAGTATTGCTACCTTGTCAAATTTATCCAAATCCAAGAACTAAGTACTAAAACTTATTACCTTTTACTCTCCACATAATAACCAAAATCAGTTGATATCCAAGAAATAATTATAAAATCTAATCAGGCCCCAAACGAAATCAGACTTTAGATATCGCAGAGGAATAAAAAATACCTATGTCGAGTTCATTCGACTCTGCCATCGTCTGCGCCATTAAAAATTTGGCCTTAAAAATATATTGCAGGTTCATGATTTATAAACATTTCAGCGATCAAATTAAATTCAAAAACGAATTTCATTAAATTGTGAGATCGACTGAGAAATTGTCGTCGCTGTTGGCATTCCTGTTGTTGGTTCTGCCGCTGTCTTTTCTTTCATAAATAAAGACTTTTTGCTGCGCAACGATCAACGAGCAAGTTGAGTTTGAGAACTGGAGGACTGGAGGACTAGACGACTGGAAACTGCATGGCTCTTCAGCTGGGAAACACATATATACACACACATACACACACACACACACACACACACACACACACACACACACACACACACAAACACACACACACAATAAATGAAGAAAAAACGCCAAGCGAATGCGAAGAAAACAAACACAACGAAAACACAAAAAACATTTCATTTTTATTGCCATACTGCTGCTGTGCGTTTTTGTTTCTTTGGTGAGATCGTTATTTTAAATTGATCGTTTGCTGCCGTGCCGTGTTTTTGTTGTTACTATGGTTGGTCTTGTTGCAAGTTGCAAGTTGGGAGTTGATGTGGTGTTGCTGGTACGGCATAAAATGAAAATGGAAAACGTGCGCGCACTGCACCGCTGCTGATGCTGCTGATGCTGCTGCTCCAGTGGTTGTTGCTGCTACGCTAAGATATACTAAGAGTGCCGTTGAGCTGTACGTGCGGGCATTCATTTAATATGATATTATTCTTATTTAATTGGCAGCCAAATGCACAGCAATGGCAGCATCAAAATCAACAACTACAACAATCATCAGCACTTCAACAGGCAGACAACAACAACAGCAACAACAACAAAAACTCTGGCCCTATCTGCATTGCCATTTTGCTTGTTAATCTCTGATTTTAAATATTTATGGAGTTTAATTTGCCTCAAGTGCAATAACTCAATTTTCTGTATGTGCGCTCTCACACACACACACGCACACACACACCCACACCATGCGACTGCATTATGCACAGGCAGTCGTCATTGAAGCTCAGCTGCCACTGCCTGAGAGATGCTATCGCAAGACTCTTCGCCTTCTCTCTCACCTCTCTCGCGCACTGGCACTTACGAGTATTGCAAGCCAGGAGCGTATGTGTGTACGAATATATTCAAGAGTAAACTTTTACATTTTGCTGGGCTCTGCAACGCCTCTACGGCGACACCGACGTCGACGACGCCGTCGACGTCGACATCGACGTTGGCGTTGGGCCTGGCAAAATGTTGAGTTAAGCATTATGAGCATTTATTATGTTATAAATTTGGCCTAAAGGTATTAACAAATTTATGCCGACACGAAAGTCATAAAGTGAAAACGCATTTATCTTTCACCCGAAAACACAGACACACAAACACGCATTACAATGCGTGCACTTATCGCAAGACTCAAGTTGAATAATGGCGGAAAGATTTTATGAAGTCCATAAAAATTGCTATACACCCATTCATACATACTTAGGATATACTCATAAGTAAAGTCTCATGTGAATGGAAATCACATCTTCAGATGCAACACAAAGGCATTGTTGCACTTGTCTTATGCAGAGTGCTTTCTCATTACATTTTCTCAGACAAAATAGTTCCTAAAGAAAGGGCCTCCCAACTGCATGCGGACACTATATTTCACGACATTGCGATGTCAAGACCTCTCACATAGAATTCAAAACAAACATAATCAGGAATTGTATTAGATGTGCAGTCTTAGAAATTTTAAGGCGTATTTGTTTTGGTGTTCATTTATTTGAACGGACCTCCCCCTCGTCAAATTTATTTAACAAATTTAATGACAGTTTTACATAAAAACACTCTGCTTATACAAAAAAAAAAATTATTTGAACAAAATATAAATATATGAATGCACATACATATGTATATATGTAACATGAATGTGTAAAATTCATTCTTAAATATCCATAAATGTGTACAAAATATTAACAACAAGTTCTGTACGTTTGAGTGACAACATAAAGTTTTGATCTTTCCCGATATGCTGACATTTCCCAATACTGGACAACAGATGTGTGTCGGTGGGGCTGTAACATCTGGGAATTTCATTGTGATTATGAAGGACAATGACATGAACTAGTAGATGTACGTACATATCTATTGGATTTAATAATTATTTTCATTAGTTTTATTTCTTGAATCTTATTACATACTTGTACAATATTTGCTTCAATATCATTAGTTGGTTAGAATAATTATTGTGAGTAACTTTTGCCACAGTAAACGATTTACCAAATAAATATTTGCGTGATTTATCTTAGCAAACTCAAGAGTAAACGCGTTTTATTTGAAGTTCTTCTATTATCATTCAATGAGAATATTTTCGCGTAGAAAATGAAAATTCAATCTTAAAAATGCGGCAAAACAAAACAACAGCTTCCACCCGAAAGGGCGTAAATAAATTTATTTGGCACTAAACCTGTTGGCTGATTAACTTAAATCTCTTTTCGCCATTTCGCTTCAAAACTCTACATCTGTAATAGTACATCACGCTGAGGTTTTGCCAAAGTTGCATTATGTTTTGTTTAGGAGAAAATTCAGAGAAGGATAACTTGGCGAAAAGTTGGCTACGTTTGGCTCAACAATTTTAAATGGAATTTGTCACACGGCCGCCGTCGCTAGTGGCAGTAACTGTCGCCCCCAACTCTCGCCTCCCCAGCTTCTCACCATTTTACATGTATATGCGAAGATAGCTTTTTTCAAAAGTTTCCTTCTATTTTTCGTCCTTGTTTTCTTCTTTTTCTCTAGTGCTTCTCTTCTCTTCTGCTTTTTTTTTTTTTTTTTTTTTTTTTTTTTTTTTTTTTTTTTTGTGAAACCGTCCAAGTTTGAATTTATTATGCGAAAAAGTGCGAAATTCATTTTGGCGCTTGGCGTTCTGCATTCCGCCTCTTTTTATATTTCCCACTGCGTGCTGTGCCGCTATTTCTTTTGTAGACTTTTGGAAAATTTTTGTGTATTTCTAAGTACATAATTTAAACGTTGCGTACGCGCGGGCAGGGGCTCGGGTTCTGGCTGTGGGGGAGCGGGTTGGGGCGAGACAATAAAACTTTCTATGGAAAAGCGCGAAATTTTTACATAATTTAAGCAGCGCATTGCTCGAAATTAGGCGACGCGATGCGACGCAACGGTAAAGGCGAGTGTGAAAGGAAACGAAATCTCTGGCACAATATTTAATATTATTGTTTTTTAAATTTTCTTTCCGTGCATTGACTGTATTTTTTGTTTGTGGAAGACACAATTTCAAGGTTCCGTCTGGGCCATAGCTGGCGGTGGCTGCTTCTTCACGCAGCTGCGTCAACCAACTCCGGATGGGCGGGAGTAGGTGTTATATTTTTTAACTTAAATTCCTGTGGGACTTAAAGTTTTGACAGTTTACGTGTTTGCTTTCGCCCCGAACTTTGGATTGGAATTGGGGATGTGGGGAGTGCAGAGGAAGAGAGGAGCGTAGGGCGGCGCAGCACTGCGTCTTCGCTTTGGCTAACTGCCACACAGTCGCCTGCAAAGCGGCACCCCTTGGCAGCCCTCTCTATCGTTCTCGCTCTTGCTTTGCCTCTCCTTTTCTCAAATCGCTTCATACGACGAATGCGACAGCACGCGTTGCATGTGGTATAATGCGTGATCTATGCTTCCATTAAGTCCACTCACACACTCTCCATATGCCGCACACACTCGTATTCACGCACAATGCACTATAAAGGTGCTGTTACTCCTGAATTTATTATGCAAGCAGCCTGCCTCCTTCGGCAACTCATGTTCTTTTCAGAATTTACCGATAGATCCCTCTTTTGGAGAAACCAAGTGCAGTCTATCAGATATTTAAACAAAAGAGAATGCCCGACATTGAAATACCCTTTTACAAGAAAAAGAAGAAGATGAGGAACAGGGAACCCATAGCTGCCGTTTGCGGGCGTATACGTAGTACTGGAGAAAATTTGTGTTGCTGATGACTTTTCTAACCATGCCCAGATTTGGATTAAATTTGAAAATAAGGTACAAATTACAAATTTTGAGAATCTGCATTTATGTTGTATTTAACATAATAATAATAATCAAAATTATATGGAATATCGGCCTACCTAGCGTAGGATATACAAGTATGTACATGTGGCCTGTATTTTTTCGCATCTCGAATAGCTTCAGCCGTTACTTATAATAAATTATATATAATACATTTTCCATTATATTAATGTACAAATAAAATTTAAATTCAATATTTTAATTGACATTTAAATCTGAAAT